TAAAGGCGAGTGCTGATGACTTAGCATGATGAGATTTCCTTAACAATGTTTCAAGAAAAGCAAAAGTGAGAACTCGCCAAGAAGTCGATCCCACGACCTCTTTCGTCGGCCCGGGCCGCTGCCACTGCACTATCTCGCTTCATAACTACGTTCAGAGAATCGTTCCGCAGATTTGGAGAGCAGATTCGAGATCAGCGTCCAAAAACACATCTAGTGGTGTATGTCTCGTTACAAATGGCCACTTCGACCTGGTATCCTTCCCTTGTGAGGTAAATGTGAGGGCGAAGAGCATGCATACCGACTGAGCTGTTGATAACAAAGTACTAAAGAAAACCGTTGAATCGAGCCATTGCCAAACTACACAAAAACTTGCATGAAGGTTTGAATGCGTCAACACTAAGGATGAAAGCTTCTAGGTTTGACTAGTAATGCCAATCGATGCGTAAAATGCGTTCAGCACCTCTCTAGTGAATCGAACAAACAATGCTCGCTGCCAACGGTGGACCTCTGCCTCACACCTCCAAGAAAGACGGTCTTCGTGAGAAGACCGCCGTGGTTGGTAGCAGATGAACAGCTGAGAGCGTCTTCGAAATTGGACATCCTCTGAACAGAAAGTCATCGTTTCGTATAATGAAACAGTACGGGAATGGTGTAGCTTCAAGTGTTTGTGGGTTAAGTAAATAGTTGCTGTTGAAGTCTACGCACAGCTTATCGCCTGCATGAATCAAATGCTGCGTTATCACGGGGTGATTCTGACCAAATTTTTGCATGACAGCGTAAAATCCCCATATTGCGAAAAAAATCCCCAATGAAGAAATCGAAGAGTAGGGCATGGAGGATCAGCTTCTAGTGCCAATTAGAGCAGAATTAGTGCTTCCCGACTACCGTACTTCCGGTCAGCATAACACACCTTCCCGAGAATATCTTCAGAACTTCGACGATGCTAAAATTTTGGTGCCCAACTTCTTTGAGCGGCACCCAAGAGTGTCTTTTGAAGAAATAATCCACTCCTCGCACAGAAAACGAAGATAATCGACTGTTCAAAATGGGGAATCAATTTAGGTCTATGCGCTTTGTTATTGTATTTACAATGAAATCTCTTGGCGACCAAAAACTACATTATTTTATTGGCCAACCTGATATTTTCATGTCATATTTGTCTGCAAAGGGAACTAGAGGACGTGGTTTTTCAGACATTGCTAAAGAAAAAGAGGAAAAGAATCCTGAGCGACGAGTCGCCACCAAGATCACTTGGTTCTGTCGAAAGGTCAGATCTCATGCTTACGTAACCAGATAATGGATTTTTTGAACCACTGATTTATATCCTCAGAGCTTTACCTCACTCACCTTTTCAATTACAGTAGATCCGTGATAATGGGCACTCCAACCGAAATCCTGTCTGACGAAGACTTGAAAGAGAAGCATATGCGAACGTGCCGTACATTTGTCACTGCAGTTGAATTGCGGGTATCTATACTTATGTATATATTGAGTTGTCTAGAAAGTTTTCACCGTTTATATAGCTCACTGTTGCATGCTTTATATCTGGGTCACTTTCAAGAAACTGCTAACGCTTTATATATCGCTAGAAAGCGCGTTCCTCGCTCTATCCAAATCTACTGTTTTTAGTCCTGAATCACTTTTCCACTTTTTTGAAGTCTTGAATACAACATACTCAACAGCCTGCTTTGCACTAGTTTCTTGTTTCCCCTCAAACTTGCTCGGAAATGTGCGGAAGCAAGTTGCGATATCAACTGAGCATTTGGTTCTGAGTCCACAAAAAATACGCTGTGCAGTCGTAATTCAAAATGTCTTTCTCGCGATGTTGAAAGCTTCGAAGGAGATTAGTGATATCGGAGACTGATAAAGATCAGCTGAGGGTTTTGACCAAATCAAATCTGCATGAAACTGTTGAACAGGCTGCTTCTGAATTGGGCGTAACCGACATAAGATTTTCAAACATAGCGGTGAGGGTAAAAAGCCCAAAGAAGTCGAAAATTGGGTGCCGCCGCCTCTTCTACCCACTGTTGCACAACCCCATCTCGGACTTCCAAGTTGAACTAGCTGAGCTACGAAATTGTGCTGCAAACATTTTACACACTAGACCTATTGCCTACCAACTATCACTTTTCTAACCATCTGGAAGGTCTACTTAGAGAGATTGAGCATTGAAACCCAACATGGTGGTGAAACGACCTTCGCCGAGTTCTTAGCTCACAGAACTCCAGCACTTCCAACATCCGGATCAGTTAAACTCATTTCTTGTAGGCAAAGGTATGGGATTGTAATAGTTTTTATTTCGAGCAAAGACGCTTTGTTTGAACCGAGATATGCGCTTTTGAATTTGAGAGTCAAAATCGGCGGAAACTTTCCGGACAACCCAATAGATAATCAGTCGTATTTATAAAATTGTGCAGGTGTGCAGGTGCAGGTGTGTGAGTCCTAAAGCCTCCCGTAAAAATTATTCATCCTAGTATGAGTCAGGGAGGGGCAAGGACAACCCCGTGCGTTGCACAATTCTCAACAGGGGTCGTATTCAAGTTCTTGGAGGGAGTGTCACACTTTGGGTGATGGGCGAGAGCTAAAGGAAAGTGGTCGTTTCTCAGAAATTGAAAGGGCGTGGTGGTTGCAAAGGGAGGTCGTGTCTGACGGGTACTTTTTTCAAAATTTTGAAGAAAACTTTGTGAAAGAAGCAAGAATCAGAGGCAATAATCAGGATTGATGGGTTGATTCCACTCAAATGTGAAAGTAGGGATGAGAGGTGGACCGCCAATGGAGAAAAAAGGAAAGAAATCCTGAAATGCACAGGAAATACGAGCATTTTGCTCTATGCTGTGGAGAAGTTCAAAAGACAGGCAGGGAGATGAGAGATAATGTGAGCGCGGAGAGTGGTAGAGAAGTCCGAGAAGAGAGAGCATAGCAGATCAACGCAGCGACGCAGACAAGATATCGAACGGTGGGCGGACCATGTTATGTTTGGTGGAGTCTGTTAGAAGTCCATGGCGCCTAGGGTCCTAGTGACGCGTTTCGATGTAGAAAGGTGGCGCTACCTTTGCACTTGCGTACCCAGCACTTCTAGCCATGGTAAGGGCTTCTTAGGTGGGTCTGAGCCCGAACTTTGCCTTTAAGAAAAAATTAGAGGATTTTCCGTCTTTTAGACATTAAAGGAAAAAAAATGAAAAAAAGGCGCGGAAAAATCATGATCCTATTTCTCCCATGAAACACTGACTCGAGTCCCATAGGTCACCATGAGAAAGAAAAGAACGAGAAATAAGAGTTTGTTTTGTAGAAAAATTCAAAAAACCGAGACACCTATTAGTCGTTCAAATTCCCGCCAAGCTGACGTCACGAGCGTTTGCGAGAGGTACCTCGTTTCTCGGAGTGTCGTCACCGGAAATTCTTCCCGCGGTGGCGCGGCGCTGTGATGTGGGCTTGGGCCTAATTTTAAGTTTTTTTTTTGTTCCACAGCTCTGTGTGTGTGCGAAATGTGTGCGAAACAAAATCACGCGCAATTGTGCTTTGGGACGCAATTGCACTCGCGGCAGTTTACACGTCGTATCCTGAATTCGTCCTACAACGCGTCGCCTTACACATAGCCGCCTCCCCACGTACATTGTTCCATGAGTTATGTTGTTCCGCCCGATGGTCCTTCGATGGTCCATGGAATGTGATTTTGGTAAGTTTATTTCTCTTCGGAAACTAAATGTTCGTGCGCCTAACTTCGTATGTTGGCTCCAGTGACCACAACTGACACATACATGTTGGGAATTGGAGCAAGAAATTTCCGCGCAGGATGCCTTTACCCTTTTTCATCCTTGCAAATTCAACTTATCCCTCTCGCTCTGCTCGGTTTTGGAGGGAAGAGGCGGAGTTGGGTAGGGTCGAATGGAAATCGTCTTATTGTTCGAATCAAATACTATAAAAACTTCCATGATGGTGAAGGTGACGGTCGGTGATGGGGGAGAGGGGGGCGCTCGTATTGAGACTCCCGCAAAGTAGTGGGTCGGAAAACTTTTGAAATTTGCGCAATAGGGCGTCCGCATCTCTATAATTCGGTTCGATTAATTTATCGTAAGTTTGGAATAGGACTGCTATCAGGCATAGCAGTGAGGTAAAAGCACAGAGAAGCGGCCCTGAACTTGCAAAAGCGGGTCCCCTGTTCAGCGATAAATTCTGTTTTTGGCGATTCTCATCGGCGTCATCAGCGCAAACGCACGGCTTCGCCCATTGCTGAGAGGTCCAGAGTCTGACGGCAAGAGCGCTGTTGCGGATATATCCAATCAGGATACAAGCAACCGAAGGGAAAGTTACCTTTCATCAAATCGCTACGCTTTTCTTCCGCAACGATACCATGTTTCGCATCTTTGCGAGCCCCATTTTCTTTTTAGTACACTTGCTCGCCTTCAGCATGTATCTGGTCAATCGTCATCCACAATTGCCACGGCGACCGGCACCCACAACAACACAATGGGTCTATTTGGCATTTGGTAAATAGAAAATTGATCGAGTAGAGTGCAACTTTTGAATCATTCTCGAATAAGGGCACATTGTCTTTTCTTGCCTTTTATACATATTCTTAGAACTGCTTGTCTTACTTTCTTCGAAAGGGTTTCCTCTCACTTTCAGCAATAACTGTTTTGGTAGCTAGAATTTGTGTAGTTCATCGCTTTTTTTACAGACTTTCTTCGAGCCACCTGAGACGATTCTCGAGATGGAACAAAAAAGTAAATATCTATCATTGCCACCTTCGAATATGAAAGAACTGCAAGCTGCGAGGGAAAAAAGAGAGGAGTTGTTGAAGACTGTGTGCAAGGTCTGAATTTTCTGGAAATTTCGCACGAAAAATTGGATAAGATGTCATTCCACTGCGGTGAAGATTAAAGGCAGCGATTACGATAGATTCGAGAAGGGTTCGAAGGAGACGTGATGGTGCTCAATGGCACGCAGTGGCGAAAAAAGCTGAGAAATCCGTCAAGAAAACGCAAAACGGGACCCCTTTTTTGGCCGTTCTTTTTTCACTCATGAACAGCTCAAAATCGGTATGAGCGAGTTCACCGCAATGCGTTTGGTGGCAGCATGTCAAACCGCTGTGCAAATGAGTTGCTCCAGGGCCCGGGTGCAGCAAGCCCCAACTAGGGGAGGGATCCCCAACCTTGGGGATATATCCCCAACCTTGGGGACATATCCCCATCCTCGACATTCTACGAATCGTTCAAGGGTTTCGTCGCAGGACCCAGGGCTTCCGCATCTCGAAGGCTCACGGACCATTAATGTTTCGTAGCACTATGGCAGTTTCGAAATACAATGGCACGGCACACATAGGAACCGTTACTATCTCTTCACTTCGTGGCTCTTACGAAATACAGTGGCAAATGGTCTTGGAGGCTGAGCGCCTCTTTCACATCGTTAACCATTTTTCTTCAATTGCCTTTCCCTCTTTTTTTGATTCTGTGGTTTCTTCTGGCTCAGTGTGGCCCCGTGAATGGTGTCAGATTCACGGAAACGCTCAGTTTTGGGCTGACCCTTAGAGGAGAAGAGATAATCCGAAGTGTCTAAGCAGTCTTCCTTCTCAAGCTCTGCCTTCTCCCTTCTCACGTTGAACAAACTGCATCGTGATGCCCCCTAACTAGAATAGACCCCGCCAATTTTCGCCGAACTTCTAAAATTCCTTTTTTTAGCGCAACGGGCGGTGGACCCCGCGCCACGCCCTCCTCTCGCAGAGGCACATTGAGCCTTTCTTATGGATTT